TATTTATATATAATCAGAAAGTAAGTCTTAGATGAGGAATGAGAAATGACTTCCTTTTCTCTGCAGGGCCCATCACCATGCACCTCCAGCTGCTGTTGGAAGTGGTGCCTCCAGAGAAAACTGAATGAGAAGTGATGGTCGGTTCAGTTGAGTCTCAAAGATTGCCTACCTTGAAGGATATGGATAGTGCTCATAAGATCAAAGTCTAAACCAGCAATTGCTCTATTTAAAAAATGATTTAATGTCACAACAGAACCTGTGAAAACTTCTTTAGGGGGAACGTGAATGAAATGCAAACACGGTGTTGTGATTAGAAATGTTGCTCATGTACATAGTACGTTTTTTTTTTACACAAAACACACGGTTAGAACAAAACAATATTTGATGTAATGTGGATGTTATGCCACAGTTAACAGCAGGGAAGGGATTTGCTTTTCCTCTCATAAATGTTAACCATAAACTGTGAGTCTGCCGTGTTTCAGAAGTGAGTTTTATGCTGAGAGATGGCTGCATGCCAAACAGAAAAGCTGATCATAAACCTGTGATCCAGAGTAATGAAAAATGATCTGATGAGTTTCGAGTTATATTCTGGTGTCTCTTGAAGGAACACAGAGATTCATGCTTATTTCTTCTCCGTTAGAAAATTAAACATCCCTTGCATGAAATACTCACACAACCTGACAGCTGTGTGGGTATTTCATGCATTACTGCTTTTATATTTCAGTATTGTACATAAAATGCTGTAGAGCTGCTAAATTCTTCACCATGTGTGAATTGACTCAAGAATAAAGGGACTTTTTAAAATGTATTAGTGGTTCTCAAATCTTTTATTGTCCCACAAAACAATAGCAAACCCATTCACTTTCCCTTTAAATATACAAAATGTCTAAAACCTATTTTAAACAACCCAAACAGTTTGAATTTTTTTCATCCTTAATTTTTATTCTTTGTGATAATTACGACAAGAATATGCCACAAAAGGCTCCTTATCCTGCCTTCGAGAATCACTTAAGAAATTAAGCACATGAAAGCACAGCATGCAAAAAGATACTGAATGATTTTATTTTAAGAATAATACATAAAGCCTGTTAAACACATTCATATTTTAACTGTTCTGTGCTATACTGTATTGTGCTGCATTAACTTGCTTTTGACTAAAGATTACATTGAATCCTTCCAAATAATTAGTTTGATTTTACACATCTGTGATGTTCCCACAGACCAAACACATGCAGATTAGGTTAACTGGTAACTCTAAATTGTCCTAGATGAGCGCGCGAGAGGCTGTTCCCTTTCNAGAATAAAACATACACTTGAAACCTGCTGTACAGTAAAGTAAGAAAAAACCTTAAAAAATGATGCCCATTTGTTTTCCTCTTTCATCAGACTGTCTTATGTAGCTGGCAGGGAAGGTCACATGGTGAAAATTTTATCCTATATCAGTCTGAAGCGCTACACTCCTTCACCTGCCCTCATATTCAATGTGAGTCGTCTTTATTAGCTTTGTAACACTTGTGCAACTTTTTGAATTCATGAAACCTAACATTAAGTCTGCATTCTTTTTAGGAAAAAAAAGATTTTAACTATGTTTTCTGTCTGTGCTATAGGGGGTTTTGGCTTTTTTCTACATCCTCCCTGCAGACATCAACAGTCTCATTAACTACTTCAGTTTTGCTCAGTGGGCGTTTTATGGACTGACAGCTCTGGCTCTCATCGTGATGCGTGTCACCAGGAAGGAACTCAAAAGACCTGTAAAGGTGAATCTCTCTCGAGGGTTTTTTTATTGACCTTTGAGCAGTTTACTTGAATGTTTTACTGCAAAATAAAGTAAGTGACAGATGTGTTCTGGAGAACAGTGTTGAGATGTGGGAATATATTTTTTCAACTCTTAATCTAAAAACTTGAGCTGCTGAAAGCATATATATATATATAT